ACGGAAAAGACCGATGATTGACGGAAAAGGACGGAAGTTAACGGAAAAGGCCGGAAATTGACGGAAAAGACCGATGATTGACGGAAAAGGACGGAAGTTAACGGAAAAGGCCGGAAATTGACGGAAAAGACCGATGATTGACGGAAAAGGACGGAAGTTAACGGAAAAGGCCGGAAATTGACGGAAAAGACCGATGATTGACGGAAAAGGACGGAAGTTAACGGAAAAGGCCGGAAGTTGACGGAAAAGGCCGGAAATTGACGGAAAAGACCGGAAGTTGACGGAAAAGACCGGAAGTTGACCGAAAAGATCGGAAATTGACGGAAAGGAACGAGGATTGACGGAAACCGAAGATTGACGGAAAGGGCCGAATGCAGCCGAGCGGCCCCGCCCCCGAGGCAAAGGCCCGTTCCCCCGCAGTGCCCCGGAGCCGCCGCCAGGGGGCGCCCGCTCTGTGCTCAGCGGCCCCCCCCCCCCCCCCCCCGGCGGCCACCAAATCCCCCGTTATGGAGGGTCCGGCCCCCCTTCCCATGGGGACCCTGGGGTCACCCCTCCGCGCTACGGGGGTTTAAGGACCACCCACACACACTTATGAGGTCTCCAGGCCTCTCCCGTCCCAGCTGTGAGGTCCCCAAGCCTCACCCCCCCACCCAGCAGTGGGGGTTTCAGAGTCCCCCCCTCCAGTTATGGGAGTGCCAGGTCTCCCCTCCCCACTATGGAGGGCCCAGGGGTCACCCCTCCATACTTTGGGGGGTGTAGGAATCACCCCCCACATACTTGGGGGGTCTCCTGACCTTTCCCCTCCTGGCTGTGGGGCCCCAAACCCCCATCCTCCCCTCAGCAATGGGGGTCCCAGAGCCCCCAGTCCTCACCCTCCCACCCCGGAGGGCTCAGGGCCCCCGCGGCCCCACTTCCCACGCCCTGGTGCCACCCCTGGCCCCGTTCCCAAGCCCCCCCCTCCCCAGGATCCTGGTCCTGCTTCCGCCTGGTTTCCCAGTAGAGCCTCCCCGGGGACCCCCCCGTGCTGACCCCCCGCATCCGGGGGGGGCACGGGCAGCCCCGGCCCCCGCGCCTGGGAACGGCACCGCGATGCCCTTTTATAGCCCTTTTATGAGCCTTTTTCCATGAGCTCAGCACCCGGGGGGGGCCCAGCATCCCCCCCAGCACTAGCTGCGGCCACCGCGGGTGTCACTTTTCAGAGAGAATTCGTATTTTCAACTCTTTTTATTATTAATATAAAAATACTCACGTATTTACAGCAAATAAATATATTTCGGTAACAAATAAATTACACTGGGGGGGTTATACAAAAGGGGAAGGGACCGTGCAGGGGGAGCAGGCGGGGGGTTGGGAGGGGATGTACAGCCAGGGCTGCGGGGGGCAGAGCCCTGGGAAGGGGGACACAAGGGTGGGGGTAATAGAAAAGTTCTCAGGAAGAAAAACCCGATCAGTTCAGAAATCAGCCCAAAAAACATCCTGGGGCCACCGGGGCATGGGCCCGGTGGGGGGGGGTGTCCCCAAGGTCTGTCCCTTGTGGGGGACATGGTACCGAAGGCGGGTGTGGTGACCGAGGGTGGCTCTGGGGCCCAAGATGGGCACCAGGACCCCAAATGTGACACCCCAGGGTGAGTGTCAGGGTGACACTTCTGTCCCCAAGGTGGTGCCAGGGTAGGAATCCCACTGCCAGGGCAAGAACCAGGTGACAATCCTGTCCCCAAGGTGGGTGCCAGTGCCAGTGGGTCAGTCCCTAACACAGGTACTGGCAAACAGGCTGACAATCCTGCCCCCAAGGTGGGTGCTGGCACCAGGGTGACAATCCTGTCCCCAAAGCAGGTGCTGGGGTGACAATCCTGTCCCCAAAATGGGTACCAGGGTGGCAATCCTGTCCCCAAAGAGGGTACCAGGGTGGCAATCCTGTTCCCAAGGCAAGTACCAGTGCCAGTATATCAGTTCCCAAGGCGGGTACTGGCACTGAGGCAACAATCCTGTCCCCAGGGCAGGTGCCAGCGCCCACCCCACAGCCCCAAGCTGGGTGCCGGTGCTGGTCCTTAGGCCAGGGTGCCCACCCTGGGGTCTGGGGTGGGGCCCTGAGGTAGGTGGTGCCAATCCCTCCGGCTCAGACCGATGACTCCTCGGGGTTGGAGTCGGGCAGGGGCTGCCGCTGCTGCAGCTTCCTCCGCAGCTCCTCAGCCAGGTCGGCACAGGGCGGGCGCTCCTCGGCACCCAGTGCCAGCCGGATGTACCCGTTGGACGAGGAGCCGCGCAGGGGGCCCAGGTGGATGCGGGTGGGCGAGTGCAGGGGCTGCCCAGGGATGGCAGCGGGTGGCGAGGCAGCGGTGCCAGGGCCGCCGTTGCGACAGGTGGCGTGGCCAGGCACAATCTTCAGGGACCCGTCCGAGTAGTAGTAGCTGGAGGGGTCCCAGAGCTTCTCATCCGAGTCGGAGGCGGCGCTGGACACGAAGCGGGGGCTGGGTGGCTCCTTGGGCAGTTCAATGGGGTACACCAGGGTGCTCTCGATGGCCTTGGTACCCTTGCCCAGCTCCTCACGCAGGCGCCGCCACAGCGAGAGCACAGCGAGCAGCAGTACGAGGCACAGGGCGCCCAGGCACACGGCCAGCACCCACACCACGCCCAGGCTCTCCAGCGGTGCCCGTGCCTCTAGCGGCGCCCCGGGCCCTGCCAGCACAGTCACCTGGTACTCCTGGGTGCCCAAGGGGGCCCCCTGCTCCTCCGCCAGGCACCGGTATGTGCCACTGTGCTGGGCACCAGCGCCCGGCACCACCAGCGCCCGCAGCCGCGCATCGCTCAGCACCAGCGCCTGCTCGGCCGGCAGCGCACGGCCCTCAAACGTCCACTGCGCCCGTGCCAGGTTGGAGCCCAGGCGGCACGTCAGCACCAGGTCGGTGCCTGCCACCACCGTCACGTTCTTGGGGGTGAGGGGCCCTGTGGGGAGAGAGGGGGGTCAGGAGGGAGGGTGGGAAGAGGGATGGGGGGGATCCATGTGGCTCAGGGGGGCTCACCTTGTTTGGCTGCCTGAGGGACGGAGCAGGCGCCAGTGTCGGAGCTCAGCACATCCTGCACCAGGTGGGACCTGTGGCAGGAGGGGGTGCAGTGAGGGGGAGTCCTTGTAGGGTGTCCCCCCCCTCCCAGGGGAGCCCCATACCCAGAGAATCACAGAAGGGATTGGAGGGACCCACAAAGATGAGTCCAGCTCCTGGCTCTGCACAGGACACCCCAAAATCCACCCTGTCCCTGAGAGCTTTGTCCAAACACTCCTTGAGCTGTGGCAGCCTTGGGGCTGTGACCACTGCCCTGGGGAGCCTCTTCAGTGCCCAGCCACCCTCTGGGGGAAGAACCTTTTCTCAATATCCGACCTAAACCTCCCCTGACACAGCTCCAGCTGTTCCAGGGTCCTGTCACCAGTCACACAGACAGAGCTTCCTCCCATGAGGAAGCTGTGGATGAGGGATCCCCCAGCCCATCCCGTACCCGTTCTGCCCATCAATCCGGACACAGGTGCTGCCGTTCCGGCTCCAGGCGCAGTAGGGGTCCCGTGCCAGGACACAGTCTGTGCACGACTGGTACCGCCCGCAGTCGGCCAGGGGTAGCTGGGCCACCTGGAAACGTGAGCCGGCGAAGAGCAGCTTCTACAAGGGCAGGGAAAAGGGCTGAGGTGACCCTGCCCCGAGGTGTCCCCGCAGTGCCACCCCTGGCCCTGCAGCCCTGCTCACCTTCCTCCTGGCCAGCACCAGGCTCTCCACGGGCTGTGCCGGCTCGAACACCTGCAGCTCCTCCACCAGGTGGATGGAAGTGCCCAAATCCAGCGCCTTGTGCACCCACCCATCACCTGTGAGCAGGGCAGGTGCTCAGGGCTGTGCCATAGCATGGACTGTCCCCTCCGTGCCCTCCCAGTTGCCCCAGGTACCTGTGCCGATGAATAGCACCTCATAGATGGTGCCATCCAGCCCAGCCACGCGATCCACCACCAGCTGGGTGAAGTTGGAGTCCTTCTTGAGCAGCAGCGGGCGCCCGCGCTGCGGCGGCACCGGCTCGTCCATCAGTGGGTGCTTCTTGGCAAAGTTCAGGGTGTTGTCGGGCAGCTCCAGGGAGCTGGCAAAGCCGTTCTGCCGGTGCCAGTCCGTGATGCACTGTGGGGAGGGCATAGGGGCAGTGTCAGGAGCGGGGAGGGATCCCAGCCCCTCTCAGGAGGGCACTGAGGGCACCATTAGGAGCATGGAGGGATCCCACCCCCCTTTAGGAGGGCACCATCAGCCATGTGGATGGATCCCAGCCCATTTAGGAGGGCAGAGAGAGCAATATCAGGCACATGGACAGATGCCAGTCCCTTAGGAGGGCACTGAGGGCCCTCAGCCACACAGATGGATCCCACCCTTCCGCCCCAGTCCCCAGTGCCCACTCACCGCTCCGGGTCGGGGACTGGGCACCTCATCTGAGTAACGGCCCCACCTCTGCGCCTGCTCCCGGTACTCCTTGTAGGGCCCCTCAAATGCCTTCTTCACCTCCAGGATGTGGTACCGGCAGATGGCTGAGACATCCACGTCCCCCCTGCAGGCACAGGAGGGGTTGGGGCGGGAACCCTCCATCCTGGGGATCCCTGGCATGCTGCATCCCCCCAGACTCACCAGTGGGCCTGGAACACCCCAAAGAAGGTGGTTTCCTGCCACTCGGCCCCAGGCAGGGTGAACACGGCCTGGAGCCGGTTGAAGTGGAGCTGCTGCTCCGGGGCTGAACACACCAAACGGGCCTTCAGGAATGTCGTCCACTTCTTCTGGAGCGTCCGGGCACCACCCACATCCCCCTGGACACAGAGGAAAGGCCACAGTCACCGCATGGCACAGCCACCACGGTGACACCAAACTGGTTACAAAGGGGCAGCAGTGGGGGAAGGTGTTGGACAATTAACTTCAACACAACAGTATTTGATCCCTAAATCAGTGATTAATAGTCTTGTGCCAGCTATTGCTGCCTTAATTACCTATATCAGTGATTAATAAGTACTAGATGTCTTTGTTTTGGGAACAAGGGTTGTGTGTCAGAGCAAAGACTGATTAGAGAAGGGGCACCGTGACGTGACCATGTACTTGAGAAGGAGAAAAGATTCATCAGAAGATCCAGAACCATCAAAGGGAAATTTGGGGAACGGGATGTTCCCAAACGACCACCAAAGACCCTCAAAAGACCCTTACTCATATCCAAATAAATCCACGGAAATAATTAGCAGATTATTCAGGAAACATAATGAATATGTTACACAACGTGATGAATATGGATCAGTCCATGACCGTCCCCTGCTCTAGTGGGTGCTGGGGGTGCATTTG